TTCTGACTGCATTTCTTTGCAAATGATTTTGATGTAAAACAATAAACTCAAAGATAATTCCTTGTAATTTTTGTAATTTGTGTCTGAAAGGGGTGTGGCTTTGTGTTTGGCTTTTAGCAGTAGCCACTAAAAGGCAAACATTTAAAAATACATTTCTGCTGTTATAACTTCTTCAGTCTTTAATGTTCATGTTTCTGATTCTCAGGTTTTCTGGAAATAAAGCCTAGTTAAGGAAACTGAAAATAGTTCTTACAAAAAATGTCTTTCCATTTAAATAAATGTTAAGCAAATCTACAGTTTTTAACATGCTATTTTTTTGTAGGCAGCTAAAATTACAAAGTAGAAGGTGAGCTTATAAATTAACAGAAAACCCATTGAAATAATGAATATTACAATTTAGAAATAATTGCTACAATGCATGCTATGGAAATTCTCCAAATAATTCTTTAAAATTTGTAACCAAACTCCAATGTATTGGTAAATTTTGATATTACTTTGTTAGAAGGCCCAATCTTAGGTATACTCAGGTATAAAATCGATCTTGATGCACCATATATGCAGATGAGTTTCATCTGGGTTTTTTTTTGCATCGTCTGTTTTTTTTTTTAAGTCAATTGAATGGCATTTTCCACTATGATCCAATGTTAGACTTCCAAAAATTCTGTACTACCTACTGTCCTGTGGTTAACTAGTTTCTAGGCAAGTAGACTCTGCTTGAGGGCTGAAGGGAATAGAGAAAGTTCATTGAGAAGTTCTCCACCCCTACTGAGTTCATCAGAACAGCAGCAGGGGTTCCCATATCTTTCTTCTTCTTGCAAATATGAATGAGATGCTTCCACATGTCTCCATACAAAATAGTGGGGCTTAGAACATGTATGATAACCAAAAAACCCCTCAAGGATCCTGATATTGTCCCTTGAAGGAAGAGACGGCTTTCGTTTTGTGACAACTCCAATGTAAAGTTTGCTCTTTGGATTAATCATAGTCATATGTTGTGATTTTGCAACTGGTAGCATGTTGAAGGAAGGATACAAAACTTTGTGAAAATATTCACTTGTATTTTGGTGGAACTAATCTATATACTCTTACTGCAATTTATTTTGTGGTCAACATCATGCTATGAAAATTTTCCATGTTAGATAGATAGCATTAACATCCCAATGTGTGAATGTGCCACAATTTATCCGAAAATCCCAGTTTTCCAGTATTGCCATTATTACTGCAATGATCCTACATTATTCTTATTTTTGTGCAGTCATCAATGATCAAAGTTACTGTTCCGTGTTATTTGTATTGCAGGGTGTCGGCAAGTAATGACTGTTTTGGTCCTTCTACAGTACTCACACTTCCCTTCTGTTTCTTGCTGATTATTAATGTTGACATGCCCATCATATTCCTGATTTTAATAGACATGACCTTAGTGTATTACTTTTAAAGAATAATTTTTTGCATTTGATTTCTGATAAAATATTTCATCATACTTAAGAAGATTTTTTTATGATTCCTTCTTTATTTAGAATTTTTAATCCAGCAGATTTTCTTTATAGATGTGGCATTTATTTTTTCTCTTTGTTATATAAAGCCTCCTTTACCATATTAATTAAGAATGCGTTTGACTTCAAGTAACAGAAACCTGACTGAAAATGCATAAGGAGTCCATTTTTCTCATATCTACTGTTTCTGCGATGAAAGGATACCCACCCCCACATTCATACTGTACCTGCCACTTTGTTCCAGTTTGCTAAGTGGAAATTAATCTTTTTTTCTTTTTAAATTTTTTTAAGCAACTTTATTGTGGTACAATTTCTGTACAGTAAACTATACATATTTCAGCTATGCAATTTGATGAATTTTGATAGATGCATACACCTATAAAACCAGCACCACAATCAAGATACCTCACATTTCCATAGACTTTCCTTCCACGTCTGATGGATCACCCAATTCTGGTATCTTCTCATTCTCTTCCCTTTTCCATATCCCTAAAACCACCTTGTCAGTTCTGAGCTGAAATAATTTCTTACAGTTACCATTTGACCTAATTCACCTTTCATATTTTCTGCTAATTCATCTTTCACAGACCTGCCAACACGATCTTTTTCGTATGCTTATTAAAAATGGTGCTTCCTTACTTAAAATCCTTTAAGAGCACTCTATCACCTTCAGGGCAGAGCTCACATTCCTTGACATGAGCGCAAGGCCCATGATGGCCTTACCACTTACCAACTGACTAGCTTCATCTCTTACCACTTTTCTAACCTGCTGGCTCTTTGCCAGCTACCAGGCTCCAAGCCTGACATGGGAGGAGCTGCATTAACATGTGCTGAATGCGAAAGACTTCTCTTAGCTCGCTCATCCATATTCCAGGTTGTAGGACAATTCTCCCTTTAAAATCAGAGGGAGCAGGCAGGGTCTCTTGATTATTTCTCAGTCGTAAGTGATATCACTGGTGACTCAGCTATCTTTTAGTATTGGGTTATTGCAGCTTTTGGATGAATTGGATGAACGTCCCCAAGTGATAACAGAAAAAGTCAATCCTCCTTTCTATTTAATGATTAATTTTTACTATTATCATTCCAAACACTCATAAGTATATACTGATCCTGTTGTCTATTTACTGCCAGAAACAATAGCACCATATCAACTATGCAAGCACCGAAATAGTTGTTTGGAGCACAAAGTGTCCAGAGTTCAAAAGGATAACACGAAATCATTCCATTCAACTTGCAGATTTATTCTGTTGTCTAGAGGGCACACTTAGCTGCTAATTGATTCTGACTACCTAAAATCTTAAAGAGCAAACTATCTTCCCCAAGTTTTTATGGATTATTTCTAAATCTTGCATTAAAAAACCCCTCTCCATGATAAAGTCCCAGTCACCTTGTTTTATGGCTTGGGATTTCAGGGTCCCAGAGTATAGATACTTGAGCATATGCAGATCTGTGTTTCAAAGAAAATTTTGATCCTTACTGTCAGGTTCACTGTAGAGAGATGCCACTGTCTTCCTTCTGAATACTAATGATGGTTGACTTCATTGCAATCAGATATGGCTCTTGTAACTTAAACATTTGTTTCATAAATATGGATCTTTATTTAGTCAATAAAATCATATACTTCCAGTCTATACTCAACATATGTTATTTGACGTGATTTATTTTCCTTAAAGATTTCTTGCTAAATATGTTTCAATTTTTTGTGCCACTGTATTCACATTTTTTAAGTGAGTTGAAACTAAAGTTCTAAGTGACTAAATACGGCCATATGGCCAGATAAATTGTGTCAACTCCCTATTGATTTCATTTTTCTTTTCCTTGACTTCTCTTTTTACATCAGCAAGTAGCAAAATTGGACTTGTCTATGACTGAGAGACATGGGCTAATAAAATTTAAATGATGATTTTTCCTGTAACACAATCAGATCATTATAAAAAGAATAGGGAACTAGACAAGGAATTGAAGTGTTTACAGATATATAAAACTGCATTTTGTTTTACATCTCTCTTGAATGATAAGATTCTTATGGACAGGAATTTATTTTTTCTAGGCTTTATTTTGAGGAGTGCTAGAATGCAGATTAACAGTATTAGGTACAGATTAACAACAAAAGAATAAAGGACGGGAAACACTGAAGCAGAATACTAGAGAAATAAACATAAAAGTTAAGTAAAAAAAAATCTGGAACATTTAGGAGAAGATATTCGAAGTGGCCTTAGAAAATTATCTATGACAGTAATTAGTTTACAATAATCAATGATGACAGCATTTTTTATTTAAGAAAAACATCAGATTATCATTTTTTTTTATTTAAGAAAAAAAATCAGGTGGGCAGCTTTCCATACATGAAGTGAAAAGATTCATGGATGTATTGGATCCTTATCAAATCAAATGCCTTAGTGAGAAAATTTAGACAACTTATGTTAAAAGCACAACTATTTTTGTTCTCTCTAGTATTCTGATGAAATATTAATATTTGTTTATTTTTTGACATTTTTCATCAGTTTTAACTTTCAGTTTTCCCACTCTGAACCATTGTAATACATTAAAGTAATCATTTTTGTCTCTTTGTTTTTGTGGAATACAGTGTTCAGAATTTTTATGATGGGATACACATGATTTAGCTCAGGAATTCACAGAAGAATCAATTTAATATTTTTCCAACAGTATGTGTGGATTCACATATAAACCATAGGTATTTATTTGTTTCAAAATATTTTATTTTGTACAATTATGTTGGATTCATAAAGCCTTATCAAGACATAGTTGAGCTATAAAGTTAGATACCTATGTACCAAAAACATCCACAACATTCATTTAATTTTACTTTTTTTTTTTCCCCTAAGAACGACCCACATTTCTCAGGAGGCCAATTAACCAGGTGGTGCTGGAGGAAGAAGCTGTAGAATTTCGTTGTCAGGTCCAGGGAGATCCTCAACCAACCGTGCGGTGGAAAAAAGATGATGCAGACTTGCCAAGAGGAAGGTAAGAACATCATATGGGTGGAAGATTGTTAGATAATCGTTGAATAATTCAAAAAGAAAAAGACAGCTCCAGCTGCACCACCAAAGTCTCTTGTACCTTGGTGTATTATTTTCACACATACTATTTTTACATATGCAAGCCACATATCTGCTGTTCTATATACTGAGACCCTCCAGGCTTCTGATGGCCTCTTTTAGTGAATTTTCGCATAAATGCCTGACTGCTCCACTCCATCTGTCATCCTCCAATAGCAAGGATTCCTGAGGCACTTTCATTGTGTTCCTGCTACCCACCCACCCCGACTGCCCCCTTCAACCACTGCTCTGTCGCTGTGATGCTTCACCTCACCCTGGATACACTCTGCCTTCCTTTTTAGCTCAGAGCATCGCTAACAAAAAGGTGCTGAGTGTAGCTAACTGTAGGGCCTGCAGTAAAGGAGAGATCTCATTTAACACAATAATGATAAGGCACCAAGCAGCTGACATCACTATCTGCAAATGGGACTTTTCACTTACGGACCTCCTGTCACATTCTCACTTGCCGTCTCCTCATAAAGACCTTCTCCTCCAGCTCTTTTCTGTTCTTCCATCACCAAACCCCAAACCCATTCTCTCAGCTCTCTAGGGTGCATTCAGAAATGCTAGTTATCTTTTATAAAAATAAATGTAAAACTGTTTTGTAATCTTAAGTTCTCCCAAGACCTTGCCTTTTATGATCAAATAAATCATTCAGGAATTTTTTTTGTATATAACGATTAAGTTTAGCTTTAAGATTTGTTTTGCCTTCCTCCTAGTCCTGCCTTCTGAAACTACAGCTACCACACCTACTGCAATCATCGTCTGCAGAAAATGTCACATCCTGCTATTTTTTTCCTTAATTTCCTTTCCTAAAAAAGAAATGTTCATTCAACTGACTGAAATGAAACATGCTGTCACAGAACTCAAATTGCCTTTTGTGTGCTTTCACTGGCATTGCTCTCTATACTGTCCTGAATCTACACATACATTTCAGAATCTCAATTTTACAGACCCCTAGGTCTGTGATACTTTCTAAAGTCACATCATCAACAGCACTGGCTTCAAATGGACTAAACATTTTAAACAATGAGAGGTTCATTGCAATCTATAGGAACGAGACAAGTGAAAATAGTTTGGGTTAACTTTTCAGCATAACTAGTAGAAAAAGTAGACTCTGTTTCTTTTCTCACTTTTTCAGACCACTAGTTTTATAGGAATGTTGTTACTAGGAGAGGTTTTTGAAGGTGAGGCTTCTCAAACTTTCTTAATGGGCAAGCAGGTTGAATAGCAAGCAGAGTTGGTGGGACTGAGTTGGTGAGTCCATCTTTGTGTTTATACCCAATAACTTTCCACAGATTTGAGGCCCATTAGTATATAATTTTGAAATGTTGGTGTAAGACTAAGAGATTAATTATGTTGTGTAATTAATGTAGACAAAGGTTAATTTTCAATTACTGGAATTAAATAGCTTGCCTATAAAAATAATCTTTCCTTTTGGAAGAATTTTGGATTTATAGAAAAGTCACAGAGCTAGTACAGAGAATTTCCATATCCCTCCTCTCGGTTCCCCCTACTGTTAACGTCTTACATTACTATGAAAGATTTGTCGCTTATAATGAACAAATGCTGATACATGATAATCAAAGTTTATACCTTATTTTAATTTCACTGGTTTTTCCGTGAATGACTCCCTTCTCCAGGATCCTGTCTAGGGTATTTATTTAGTTGGGTATTATAGGATATTGCATTTAGTGTCCTGTTTTCCCAGTCTTCTCTGTCCTGTGACAGGTTCTCAGTTTTCCCTTGTTTTTATGACCTTAACAGTCTTAAGGAGCACTGGCCAGGTATCCCAAGAATGTCCCCCAAACTTGGATTTGTCTAGTGTTTTTTCATGATTAGACTGGCTTTGTGGGACTTTAGGAAGAAAGCCACAGAGAGTACCATTTTGTCACATAATTATCAGGGGTTACATGATATTCACATAACATCCCTGGTGATCCTGCCATTTTTAATCATTAAATAAGACCGAATTGATGAAAGTTGCAAAAACAGAAAGTTATGCAGGTGCATTACATTTTAATGGGTCTGCGTCTTTGAATTAAGGTAAAATACAGCTTAAGCCCAGTTTGATTTCTTCCCAGATTGCTCTAGGTGTTAGGTCATAAACCTGACAACTTTATTTGCCACAGTTATTCTCCCAATCTTGCCATATCCATTTGCTTCAGAGCTCAAATAATACATATAAATCAAACAACAGCATTAAAGCTGCATATTTAGAATGTCTGATTATAAAGGCCTCTAAAGATAAGGCTGAATTTTTTAGAAATCTTTCCTCTACTAATTTCCCTTAAGACATTTTCATAGATTTGCCCTCTTTATTTTTCTGTGACCAGCATGATACTACTGCAGTGCTTTGTGTGACCGGCTAAATATTTTTAAAGTATTAGGCAAATGGAAATGCTGTGTAAGCTTTAAATTGTATGTTAGAAAGGCTTAAAGCAAGGATCAGTGCAATATAGAAATTGAGGTCAGCATTTTATCATGATAGAAGCCATGTACTTTTTCTTGAAATCTCAATCTTTAAATGGTATTTCAAAGCAGCTTATTCATCCTTAGATTTGTATGCATTAGCATAAGCTTCACTTGTGCATAATGAGGGGAAAAAGGACCTCTTTACTTGGTGAAGAATAACAGTGATGACTTTTAACCAACCACAGCCTAAATCAACAACATTGATTCTATTACATTATTTAGGTCTCAGGCTAGGGAGATGGCCATTGTTCTTGTGTAAGCAATTGTGTGGAGTGGTGTGGAAGATGACATTTCTTTGGCTTAACATTTAATGCAATTTGAATAAGGTTTGTGTAGTGGTTCATGCTTAACACATTTATAGTAAAGCTTTGCAGGGCAGCTGCGTAGCCTGTAATTACTACGTAAGTAATATGTGACTGTTTCTCTTTTGGAGACGAGAAAAGCTTTTCAATTCAAGTTTAAATTTATGAAATGCTGTGATAGCTATTTAAACTTCCAACACAGAGGAAGATATCTGTGCCAACCTTTCAGTAACCAGAGATGAATTAAGGGAGTAGTTTTTTCTTTGCTGTGAATATATTTTTAAGGTAGTACCCCTCTACCTCTTTCTTTGATTTAGCCCTAAACTCCTTACCTTTCTCAGTAACTCTCGTTAAGGAAATTACAACTTACTATTGGTGAGTTGTTTTAAAGACAGCTTCCGATTAGATAAATATTTCAGTGAGGTTGGTAAATAGCAACTCCCGAGTCTGACAATAACCCTAATGCCCAACCAAGGAGAAATAATCTATTTGGATATTTTCCATATGACAAAGGGACAAAATAGGGAGGAGTCTTCAATTTACATATGCTGCTGTCAAACGTTAAGTGCTTGCAGAAACGTCTGAAGATTCTACAATTTCAGAACTGAAGATTTCAGGAAGAAAAAGGTCACTGCCTTTTTTTGTGACTGTGCCAAGTATCAATATCTTTTTTTCTAGAGGGTCTGAATACATATGTACCTAAATAAATCAACACTGACTCATTTATGAGGGACAAGAATTTTACACACCACTGTGCAATAAGTGGTGTGGGGAACAAAATGAGGAAATAAAGGAAAAGACATTTTATAATTCATGATGATTATGTGTTTTAAAAGCATAGTTTTTTCAAGGCATTATTTAAACTGTAGAAAAAACACTTTAAGGTTTACCTTTTATTAAGTGCCTCCTGTATTCATAATGCTTATTGCTAGTCTGTAAAAGAAGTCATTTTACGCAAGGTAAATACAGTGTTACTGTATTTTTATTTTATGTTAATCAAATTGAGTGATATAAGAGAATTTCACATACTGAATACATGAATGAGAGTTAAAACTGAAGTAACTCTAGTGTCTTATTTGGTTGCTACATCTTTTTATTTTCCCCAGGCAAACATAGAGCTTTTTGCTAATTATTACTCTTTTGAAGATAAGATGCCTTCAGCACATCTTTTCATTAAGTGTTTCATATGATAGAAATTGCCAGTATTTATAACAACTGTGACAATATTCCATTCTCTGCCAGGTTCCATCACAACGTTGGGATGTTGTATATTTTGTAATACAAAAATATATGTATAGGCTGAAGCTCTATGAAAAATATCATGTATTAATATTAAAGAAACAGAATGTCATACATCTACAACCAAAAATATAGCAATTAAATTGAAATACACCAACACAACAATATTCTGTTCAATTCAGTATTTGTGAGGAGAATAAAAATATCTCTTCTCAGAATGTGAGTAAGAAGTAATATGATTAAATTAACCATGATTTCGTGTCTGGACTTGTCAGGACAGTTTGTATTTCAGGTAATTATTATTAATCTTTTAAAGGACTATAACCAGGAGAGTTGAAATCTTGCATCAGTCAGTTACTTGTATACTATCATTAGTTAGTTCCAAGATATATTTTTATTCCATTTTTATTTATTGTCCAAACTAACTCTAAAGTGACACTAACTTCCTCAATAAGGATCTAGAGTCAAGAAAGGAATGTTCATAATAGCTTCTCAGAGAAAAAAAGAAAGAAAATATGCCATTTGAATTCTTACGTATGCCTGCAAATTCTAAATGCAGTTGATGGCTTGCACATAGTGGATATCATTCATGAATATTTCATAAAAATAGAAAAGAGACTAGAAAAAAAGAGTTTCAAGATATATAGTGCAAAATTCTATCAATTTTCCTGAACCCACTGACAAATTTCTTTTTCTAAAGTGCAAGTCTATTTCAAGAGAGACTTTTCAGAGTTCGTAGTTCCATGAACTGTGAGATTCACATGAATACATGATTCCTAAAGAAAAGGAATTGAATAGAAACACTTATAATTCCCCTTTTCTGTGGCATTTTTACGCTAAGTGGCTCTTTCTACTTAGCCCTGGAAAATGTTCTTGTATTAATTGTTTGGAAGCTCCATTGTTTAGAGCA